CTTTATTTTGACTTCACGTGCATGGATGTTTTGTACGGTGCCCACAGAGGTCACAAGATGGTAGTGGGTTCCCTGGGACTGGGGTTACAGGTGGTTGTGAGCCACCATGTGGATAATGGGAACAGAACCCAGGTTTTTCGAAAGAGTAACCACTGCTTTTGGTCATCCCCACAGCCTCTTCCCACCTTGGTTTTCAGACAGGACTCTCAGTGGGACTTAGGACACGCGTTGGCTAGGCTAGGCCAGGTGGCCAGTGAACCTCAGGAACCCCGTCCCCCTCCCAAGAGCTGACATTACAGGTGTGTGCAGTCATACCCGATCATACCTGGATGTCAGCAGTCCTGGGGGTAGAAACCAGGTAGTCATGACTTCAGCAAACACCTCAGCTGAGCCCCTCACCCTACCGTCACTGGGGTCACACTGCCAGGGCATGCTTAGTTCCTTCTTCAGTTTCTCTACTTACTAAAGCCGAGAGAGAGAGAGAGAGAGAGAGAGAGAGAGAGAGAGAGAGAGAGAGAGAGAGAGAGAAGAAGAAGAAGAAGAAGAAGAAGAAGAAGAAGAAGAAGAAGAAGAAGAAGAAGAAGAAGAAGAAGAAAAAGAAGAGGAGGAGGAGGAGGAGGAGGAAGAGCAAGAGGAGGAGGAGGAAGATGAAGGGAAAAATGTCGATGACAGTTTCCCGGTGACTGTATCGCGCTATTTCCATTTGTGAGCTAGTGAGGTGGATTATTTGAAGAAATTAGTTTTTTTTTAAAAGACTTTCTAAACCTAAAATGGAAATGTGCTTTTGCCTTAACAAAGGTTAAGAAATTTGAGTCTAAGAAATTCTAAATAAACTAAAAAAAAATTGAAGGAAAGGGATTATGTAATGGCATCGCAACTGAATTTAAAAAAGCTTGCCTGAAGATCTAAGAGTAAAACAGCCCCACTGGTCAGCCTTACAGACCAGGTTATGGTAACACGCACCTTTAATCTCAGTAGCCACAATGTCACGCACCTTTAGTCCCAGTAGCCACACTAGTTGCCATAGAAACTGGGCAGTGCACATCTTCAATCTCAGCCCTAGAAAGGAATATAAGACGGGAGGAGACAGCTCTCAGAGGCAGTCAGCCTCCTTCTGAGATTCCAGGAGGCAGGATCACCATTTCAGACTGAGGTCAAGGTAAGAGCCAGTGGCTGACTGTTTTGCTTTTTGGCTCTTCAGATTGAACCCCAATTTCTGACCCTGAGTTTTTATTAATTGTGCTTCAGGATTGGAGGTTAAAAATAAAAACATTGGCTATTTGAAGCCAAGGGACTGGAGTCTCCCTCCAGTGACATAATGTTTGCTGGCAGGAGAGACCCTGGCTCCATTCCCAGCAGATCTCTACCCAGCTTCAAACCCGGTGTGTGACACACTCCTGCCGCACGAGCTGTTGCAAGCGGAGGCCTAGAGACCAGAAGCTCGAGATTCTTTTCAACCACATAGCTGAGTTCAAGACCAGCCTGGGTACTCTAGGCAGGTTATCCCAAACACACACACACACACACACACACACACACACACACACACACACACACACACACACGGGGGAGGAGAGAGAAAGAACAAAAAAAAACCAACAAAATGGATAAAATGGATATTTCAAATGAAAGAGTCAACATCTAAGAATCCTTTGAAAATAGAAATTTTGAAACATTTTTGAAGCAAGTTGTAGTCTCAGACTGGCGCCTCCTCCCGAGTGCTGGGGTTACAGACATCTACACCCGGCTAAGATCGATATTTTAATGTCAGAGTTACACTCAGATTTGTGAACACTATGTCCATTCATGCACTTACCAGTTCCTCCTTCCCCAGTGCCCTCTACCAGCACCTAACCGAGTGAGTCTGAATCTACCAGATACCTCACGTAAGTGGAGCCCTTCCGTGTCTGGCCTACTAACTTCTTCTGGTTTCATCCACACTGTACCATGTCTCAGAATTTCAGTTTTAAGTGTGAATAGTAATTTCATTTTTTTTTCTTTTTGGATTTTTCGAGACAGGGTTTCTCTGTAGTTTTTTTTGTGCCTGTCCTGGAACTAGCTCTTGTAGACCAGGCTGGCCTTGAACTCACAGAGATCCGCCTGCCTCTGCCTCTCTAGTGCTGGGATTAAAGGCGTGCACCACCACTGCCCGGCAGTAATTTCATTTTTATATGCAAACCATGCATTATCTGAACTTCCATCAGTGTACATTGGGTTGTGCCTCAGGTAGGGTTTTTTTTTCTTTTTTTTTCTTTTTTTTTTTTTTTTTTTTTTTTTTTTTGTCAAACTGACAAGCTATGATGGAATTTAAGGTTGCAGTTCACACATCCGGATGGCTCTCTGAGCTCAGCGCAGTATGGAGGACTCCCTTCCTGCCTAACTTTATTTGGAGACTGTCTGTCTCTAGGCTCTGATGTGACTGCACAGATCACCCTGCAAACACTGTTTGACTTAGCGCGTCTTTCCCTCTCTCTTCCCGCACACTCTAGAGTTTGAACTGGGGCATCACTGACATTGGTCTGTCTTCAATCGAGTCTGTATCTGCATAGTGGCTGTGCCCCCTTCCTTGTTCTCTGTCCTGCCCTCCCCTGGGTCTAGCTATGTGAGCTAGCCCCATGGCTGCAACAAACTGAACTGTCTCACTGAAGCTGACTCCCATAAGCTCACAGATGCTCCAAACCCCGCTGGCTGCTTCTGCTCCCTTTGTCCTCCTGGGCTGACGACCAATGATCCTCAAGGAAAAGGGAGACCCCACACAGCCAGAGTTATAGGGCAAGAAGCAGCTCCATTGAGAAAAGTACTCTGTATCACCTGTAGGCAAATCTGTGGGGTATTTTCTTTATTGATTATTGATTTGGGAGGGTCCAGACCACTCATGGGCAGGTGGTCCTGGGGTATATAAGACTGCAAGCTGAATAAGCCATGGGAAGTGACCCAGTAAGCAATGTTCATTTATGGCCTCTGCTTCTGTTCCTGCCCTGACTTCTCCTCATACTGTCTTGTCTAGGACAGAAAGGACAGCCAATATTTTAGGCCTTGACCTCCAAGGTCAGCCAGGACCCAGGGAACAATGACATCCCCACAAATCACCTTACTACTCTGATAAGACACCTAGTGTCATAGCCAGAGAGATGGTAAGTTGCCCAGGAGAACTCTAAGCAGGGATGAGAG